AACAGAAGAAATTGATCCGATTAGCACATCTACGTTTATAACGTCTTTCGCAGCATCCAATGTCACACCTACTACAACTAACACTTCCTTATCAACAATATTGTATCAAACAGGTGACGACGATAACGACGTGATTTATTCTGATGAAAATAAACATAATAATTTTAATATTATCGAAAGCAACGTTGATAATGATTCAATGGATTTAGAATTATCAAGGTCGCCATCGTTTGTCGACACACAATTGTTACATGACTATACTTCTCTAACAACAGATGAATTTTGTTCAAAATTATTAAATGTTTTTCGTGATTCTAGTATCTGTAAATCACATTCAGATCGTATTTTATCGTTAATTCGGTCAGCATTGCCTATACAGAACAATCTTCCTCGTTCAATGGAAAAAGTACTACAAAAGTTGAATATCAATGATATTTTTTTAGAAAACGGTTGATATGTACATTATGTAACAACGATGTAGCTTATTCTGAAAAACGATGTTTAAGATGCAAGTCGTCAAATGATCAAAACTTGGCTTACGTTTATGATACAGATATAGGAAAATTGATACATACAATTGTAACCCGTTTATATAAAGACATACAAAAATATAAACATCAGTTGGAAAAGATGAATGATAGTAATCGAACAAATGACATTGGCTTCAATAAGCTATATCAGCAGTTATTAAGAACAAACTTAAACCAAAATATCATCACGTTTCTACTGCATTTAGATGGCGTTGGTCTATGTAAATCAACGAAACTGAAATTATGGTTATTTAGCTGCTCTATTATTGAACTAGAGCCAAAAACAAGGTACAAATGGTATAATATACCAGTTTTGAGTATTTGGATTGGGTATAAAGAGCCAGACTCAGAACTTTGGTTGAGAAGCAGTATCAATACCATCCAGTTTAGTAATAAGTTATCAAATCACCGTGGTATCGTGTTCCATGTCTGTTCGAACTAATTTTGCCAATCAAATCTTCTTGAGCAAAACATCCTATTTGCTAAAGAACCATAATTATCGTATTGTTTCTCGAAGTGTAGGTGAATGTGAAGAACGAAATTTTGTGTATGTTGATGATACTGCTCATGGTCTTTATAATAGTTTACGAATAATTCATTAGCGATGGTTGATGTCTGTTTACCAAAACAAGGTTGTTCGTCACTCATACGGTGATATTTGAAAGCGTTGCTTTACTCAGTAAAATAACGCATCAGTAAAGAAAATGTGCCACCCCTAGTGCAGGAAGTGTAAGGAATCAAGGGCTGAAACTTTTAGGTTATATCCGTCCATCAAGCTCTATAACATATATAAAGATCAAAGAAATCTAAAGTACTCTTCTAACCGGTGTGCCCCAGTCTCTCAAAAACAATTTTGATTTTTTCTGTTAAAAATAGCGTAGAATCCGTTAGAGTTGGGATCTGAAACAGAGACTCATACATACCGAGTTTCTGTTTTCACTACCATCCTATCCGATCCGATCTGTTCAAAGCGTCATTGAGATGCCCAGCTCTGTCTTACTTAGATCTAAGCTGAGACGCTGAAAGTTTTCAAAACTACGCTGACATTTTTCGAATTTCTTTTGATGACCTGAGGATTACGCCATCTTATGGACTCAAGAGATATGACATCTTAGCCTAAGGAAGCCTTGTTTTTGCTAATCCAATCATAGCAAAGGCTTTTTTCCAATTTTCCAGTTCGATCTGATATATGTGAACCTTGGTCGATTGGGATCAGATGAATACATACGTTCATTTGCTAAATTAAAATTGAATCTATAAAAATCTATAAAAAGAAGGACAGCTGCAGTGGTATTACAATAACAAGAAATTCAAAACAGAACGTGAATATGAGTATTGTCGGTATATTTAATATAATTAAAAAACATTTTCGTAAAATCATTTAACATAAAAAGCACGCGTTCGATACTTCACAGTATCATCGACAAGCTAATATGTCTGTCGAATTTAGAAGAGAAATGATACGAAAATGCTTTTCAATTATATTAAATATACCAAGTTTTATAAAAAAACAACATAAAAGGTCAAAGAATGTCAACCCTTAAGAGTATTGTCGGAAGTAAAAAAAGAAAAGAAACAGAGTTTTTATGACTATTGATTTGGTTACTGAAGATAGAAAAAAATAAATAACTAAAATAACAAAGATAGATATTTTTAGTTTTTTTTTGCTTTAGTATCTTCGTTGAGGATACTCGAGGAGTTATAAGAGAACCTCATAAGCAAAAGGAATTCGTTTCTATTTAAAAATGAATAACAAACGCACATTTTCTCCAATAGTTTTACATAAACACTTTTTTTTTCTAATGACTAGTACAGATCTACCGAAAATGTTTCCAAAAAAAGCACTTTCAAAACAAACTAAAGAGGCGGATAATTCGTTTCGGCTCATGCCCATTTTGCAACCAATTTTATTTTTGATTGTTTTATAATTTCCCAAATTGCAAGTAAGAACTTTTTCTCAAACGTTGTCCATTTCCCATTTTGCAAGCATACTATCTAATAGAAAAGAAAGAATTTATATTATAAATCTAAACGTTGTCTGATTAACTAATCATAATTATCAGAGTACTTAAAACGAATGTTTTTTGTCGCAAACTTCTGAAATTTGTTCGATATTTTTGATTTATGTCTAAAGACAAATAATGCTGTTGAAGGCTATCATCGAAAACAAAATTAGTAAGGATACTTTGAAATCTGTATTTGAACTACAGCTTATTAACTTATTTTTGCATTTACAGACGTGTGCCAGCTCATCCCAACCTATATTGTTGGATAGAACAAATTCGCAAAAAGATTTCACGCGGTGCCATGATATATGTTTACTTGCAAAACAGTAAATGCTTAAACTAGGGAAATACAAAATTGCTTGCAAAATGGAAAATGTAGACGAAAACAGTAATTTGCTTGCAAAATGGGAAGCAATCTTTGTTTCTTATCCTTTATTCTTCTTCGTAAATGGATATTTTGCCTTGACATTGTTTGTCATATGCTTTCAATTTTATTTTTTCGTGACAAAACCTTTTTTGCTTTTGCGGAAGAAAAGGAAAGAATACGGAAAAAAAACTCAGCTATTTACGTTTAAAACTTGTTGTGGTGATTTCCCCGAAGATCTCCCAACATATACAAAAGTTTGTGGGAGTAGGCATACAACGATTACGGTTAACCATTCGACCGGTTATTTCCAGTTACGGTTACGGTTATTTCCGGTAACGGTTAACGGTTAATAACCGTAACCGTTGTATACCTATGTGGGAGAAATATAGGAATTCCTGGGTCTGTACCTTGTTTCTGTGGAGAATTAGGAAAGCCACAGGGAGAAAAAATCAGACTTCAGACTAGTGGACTTTGATAGACTTAGGTCGACTTTTAAAGTCTATTAAATATATTATATAGACGGGCTTTGAAACTCCATAATTGGGATTTAAGTCTGCTTTTCTCCCTTCCAAAGCCGGCAAACTTATGCTACTTGGCACACTGAGTTGAATGATAATAAGAAAAGTTTAACAATCTCTTGGCATCATGGTTTCCGGTGGTTCCAAAGTTACAGAGTTTCAATTTTGATGAAAAACTAATTGATCTGAACAAAAAAACAAAAAGTCTAAAGGCTATACCGTTGCATATTCCACCGCATACGTTACGTGACCAACGATGAGTTATTATTTCTGAATATTAAGTGTATTTCTGCATGGAAGAACTGACAGTTATTGCATATTTTGGAGCTCTTAGCAGTAACTTAAATATTGACGCTACGTCGATCCCTTTATTTTAGTGATGCAGCAGCATGTTGCACTTTGGCTTTGGAAATATTTTTAAAACTTTTACAATTCCATAATGATACATCATCATTTCTTCAATCCACTTCGAATTGCTTGCTCTTCCATATGGGACCAAGAAAATAGAAATATTTTTTTGGCTCTGAACACTTCTATGGCAGCAGGTCGTCGCAAGAAACCTGAAACCTTTGTGAACCGCATAAAAGTTACTAATGCTGTTTTATAGAGCTATTCTCGAATTACAAATGTGTCATTCCAAATATAGTAGAACAGGGAAATTTTTTTATAAGCGAATTAAAATTTAATTATTTTATTTAAAATTTGAGTAGTTTTCGCTACCTGATAACAGTAAAGGAACTTGCCATAAAAGAACCACTTATTTTCAAGAGCTGATTTACCAAGGGGGAAACAGCTGATTTTGAGATTTTTCCGATTTTCACTGATTTTCAGCGATTTTCACAGATTTTCAGTGATTTTTTCCGGTTTCTTGTGATTTGTTTGGAAAATGGGAATAGTTTTTCATTGGTAAATAGTGCGGAAACTGCTTTATTTATACAAAATCAGACATAGTGAAAGTAAAGAAAAAAACGATAAAATCATTAGCGATTTTTAACGTTTTTTTAGAGATTTTTTAGGATTTTAGTGATTTTTAAAGATTTTTAGCGATTCTGAGTGATTTTCGATTTAGACCGATTTTTTAAGCTCAAAAATCAGCTGTTTCCCCTTGTGATTTACGCATCATTAGATAACGACGAGAGGAATCAAATGCATATATTGGTGTTAAGCTTAGAGTAAAAACCTCAAAGTGAAAAATCGATTTTTCAAATCAATTAGTTTATCATTAAAATGAAAACTCTGTAATTAGTGAACCACCGGAAATTCTGTTGAAAAATCAGCTTAAAATTTGAAAAAGATAAATATTATTTCTTATTTTTATTAGTGTTTTTTTATTAGATCTTGTTGAGTCAAGATTCTTTCTTTATCTATAAATAGTGTTTGTTTGTGCACACCGAGTAGTTTTTCGATATGATCGAGGGTCGCAGGTCTCAGAATATTTTACCTTAAGATTTCTTTTTTTTCATTGTATTAGATTATTTAATGGGGAACATGTTTCTTAAGATTTATAGTAATAAACGAAATCAAAATCTTTCACGAATACCAGTTATTGATCGAAGACAACATTTTTTTTTGAAACTGGGTCAATAGTTTTATAATGTTAAAAAGCGTGTTTGTATTACTAGTTATGTAATAAAATAAGAGAAAAAACTAATTAAAAGCTGAAAATACTGCCATATAAACTAGATATGATGGCTGTATTACATCAGTCGTCACTAACATTCCTTTCTCTTTCTGCTTTCGTTATACATTTTTCGTGACCACAAAGAATGTTGACTCAGTTCTTGTTGAGTCAAGATTCTTTCTTTATCTATATATAGTGTTTCTTTGTACACACCGAGTAGGTTTTTGATTTTGACGTTTTGTGAGATTTTATTCTTTCCAATAAAATTTGTGGAGACTAACAGGCTGCTGGATGAAAAAAGCCAGAGCTCTCTAGCTTGTTTTTATTTTCAAATGGCAAAGGAAACAAAGTGAAGTGATACCGGTAGGCCAATAATTTGTTAGCTACTGAGCCATTGTGATTGGCACATCTT